AAAAGAATAAAATGGAATTCTTTGTTGTTGGTTATTTTTTACAGTTAAGGTCTTGATACTCGAGTTTATTTAAGTCACAAGCAGGGGTATATGCCCGAACCCTCGTCATATTCTTAAATAAATCAAAAGTGAGAATTAACCCTTCAACTGCGGTTGCCATCGTATGAAGTTATCGTAGGCGACTACGGTTCACATCATATGATGCAAGCATTTTTCGCCTAAAGTTTTCAGTAATGGCCTGCCATAAAAATTCATGAGTGGTAGGCAAACTTACACAAGCCACAAATGAAGGGTTAAGTTAATTTTTATTGTTATCATTTTTTTTTATCATTATGAAATGTACAGAGGTTTGGTCTAGTATATTTGTGTACACATAGGGATGATTATGGGGGGGATAGTCCCCCACACATTTTTTTCTCTGTGATGTAGTTTACAAATGCAGAACCATAGATGATTATGGGGGGATAGTCCCCCACATTTTTTTTTCTCTGTGATGTAGTTTACAAATGCAGAATCCATATGGTGTACCTTCTGGTATAGTAGCTCTGAAGCTACAATAACTTATTGATAAAAAAAAAGACACGAAGATCTAGACTAATAACAGAAACAGATTTTTAGTTGTCCAGACAATTTTAGAGACTTAAGTTTCACTGTATATAATGCTCCCATATGTTATACTCAATCCGAATTGTTTCGGAGTTAAAATATCGCTTCAAAACAGTCCAAAAAAAACTGAGCTGGAAGGTTGGGCATTTTTTTAAGGATTGGTTTATAAAAGTATTTGACTTTTTAGATATTTGTTCAACATTCTGCTACACTTTGGTATTTCTGTGGTTTGCTCATTATGACATTTTTTATACAGAATTATGATTTAATTATTCAATGATTAATCTGATGCCTACTGCTGCCTGTATATAAATCAGCTTCTGATTTGTAAGTTTTTATAATGGAATAAAATACTGCTTCTCAGACTTGCTTTATCTAAGATATCGTAGTCATTTTTTTTTTTCTCGTGTGCGTGTTTGGAAGTCAGTTTGTGTCCATATTTTGGTGGACTGTTTGTGTACATATTTTGGTAGTCAGTTTGTGTTCATATTTTGGTGGACTGTTTGTGTACATATTTTGGTGGACTGTTTGTGTACATATTTTGATGGACCGTTTGTGTACATATTTTTGTAGACAGTTTGTGCCCATATTTTTGTAGACAGTTTGTGCCCATATTTTGGTAGACAGTTTGTGTCCATAATTTTGGTAGACAGTTTGTGCCCATATTTTGGTAGACAGTTTGTGTCCATAATTTTGGTAGACAGTTTGTGTCCATAATTTTTGATAGACTGTTTGTGTCCATAATTTTGGTAGACAGTTTGTGTCCATAATTTTTGTAGACAGTTTGTGTACATATTTTGGTGGACTGTTTGTGTACATATTTTGGTGGACTGTTTGTGTCCATAATTTTGGTAGACAGTTTGTGT